ACCCCCCCAAAAAATAAAAAAAATAAAATAAACAAAAAACAGGACAACGATCTCTAATGCACATTAATACTGATTTTGAAATGGTTAAATTAAAAAAGATCTGCCTCAAGTACTGACTTTAACTTTTTGAAAATGTGAGGAATATATTTTTAAAACTAGGAAACTTACCACTTCTTTCTGGAAAAACGACAAATATCCACCCAGAACCATCCCAGACGTTTAACCAGCTTTTAGGAACTTCATTAGATGTTATATTGAATTAGATATGTAGAATGGAATAGAAAAGAAAATCCCTTTATTGTCCCACACTGGGGAAACAGTGGCATTACAGCAGCTAAACCATTACAGCAAAAGTGTTCACACAAATGTGGACCTTAAAGGTTTATAAAAATAACAGAATAAGTGCCAGTTAAAAAAGAAACAGAATCAAATACAGTACTGTACTGTGTATTTACAAATATAAATACTGTGCCATTACCCAAAGAATAAGTAATCAATATACGGTACAGCTTTTGGACATTTTTACAGCAGCGGATTTGAGAGGCATGTGTAAGATTTTAGCGATAAGAGCAAATTTACCTTGTATTCACTTCTTGTTTTTAAGATTCATTAAAATGTTTGTTAAAAAATAGTTTAGACTCTAAAAATCGAACATTCAAAAAGATCATTTAAAGTACATCACCATGAAAATCATGTGGATGTAAACATAGCACTGGGACTTTGTTAAGATGCTTGTCTAACATAGCGCATCAATCCTAAATAATGCTTTGTTTTGGCTGTAGGCTGCTATACTAGGTTTAAAGATATAAAATATATATTTCTAGGTTTTATTTTCCGATTTTAATACCATTTTTAGTTTTTCCTGACTGTTTTTCTGCCATCAAATAAATCCACTAATATTCTCGTATAATTAAGTCTCCTAAAAAACTTATCAATCCTTTTAGTACAGATTCAATCCATTGAAAGGGAAGATTTTTATCTACATTAAAAATACAGGAAATTTCTATATATATATATATATATATATATATATATATAGTCATGGGTACTTGTTGATCGCATCAAAATGATTTCTAATAGCATTAAAGAGCATTAAATTAAATTAGAGTTACTCATTCCTGTATCAACCCTGTGTTAAAAGGTTTATGTGAAACCCAATAGTATGATTATTTTATTATGAACATTTTCATAAGTGTTCTATTAACTAAATAAACAATATAAATAATAAAGTTGACTTAGCTTTCAGAAACAACGAAAGACTAAGATCTTTCATGTAAATTCATTTCAATTAAACTATTTTTTGGTCCCCTAAGGGCAATTTAATGGTACAGTGAAGCAAATATGTTCACAGACACAATAAAAAGTCATCATATTAAGTTGATTAATGTGAAAGACATTTTTTTCTCTTTCAAGTTAAATCTAGTTTAGTATCCAAACACTGTTGTTCATCTGTAGAACTTGAACCTAAAATGCTGTATTTTAAAATGTAATACAGCATAAAGACATGTAGACTACCTTGACAAATATATATGAACTATATACACTCTTTATATTGTCTACTGTATTTTTTTATCTTTAATGGCATCTTGCTTTAACTCTTTTTACCCTATATAATCTACTTGAACCAGAATTTCCCTGAAAGAGAAATAAAGTTGAGTCCAAATCAAAATAGTTTTGGATCACATTTTTATTTGGTTTGTTTTATTTATTTCTTTGCTAGATAATTTGTAAATGTTAAGCGTTTTGTTGGTAAGACCTCACATAATTACAACAGTCGTTTATACATCTTTAGATAGAAATGCCAGAGAAAAGTCTTTTTTTTTTTTTTTTATACGTGCATTGGCCTCGGATTGAGGAGGTAAACGAGACATTTTGCCAATGGAACAAGACAATTTACACTTAAATAAAAGAAACACAATTGCATTGTCTTATTTTGGTGCATTTTATCTAATTATCTTATCTTAAGAGTAAAAATACTCATTCCATTGGCAAACTATCTCATTTACCTACTCAAATTAAGGATAAATACACCTAATTTAAGACATTTTTTCTTATTTCTAGATGGTTTTTCCAGTGTATCATCTGGAAGCTTATGCAGTAACCATCTATGTCTGTCTGCGTCTATATCTAAAAACTTCATAGAAGGATTTTGTGATTCCTTTATTGTCCAGTAGGTGTCAGGCTAGCTAAATGCATGGCCAAAGTTATTTTTTTGTAGAAGGAATTTCTCTCTGGTGCTGCTGTCTCTCCCCGCCTTTCTCTTCCACATCTTTCAGCCTTTTCTACAGACTATGTGCATCGGCATCTCATTTCAGCAAAGCCCAGCCTTTCCCTGCACCCGCTGACCGTCCAGCTCTTTGCATCAGACAAAAACCTGGAACTTTTTCATCCTGTGCGCTCACGTACCCACCTGTTTTCAGAGAGTAAAATACAGGGTTTGTGCGGTGTAATGATCGGATTTCTCCTCTGTAATCTGCACAGATTCTCACCCTTCACCAACAACACTGTGCTGCTCACACAAACACGGCCTTTCTTTCTTAAAGGTTCGAACTATAGAGCCGCGCATTTAAAGGTGTGTTTATGCACCGATGCACATCAAGAATACACGTGTAGTTTAAGCTGAAAAGCACAAACTGTTTGCTTTTAAACACACACACTGCTCAGTTATGGGAAACATCCCTGACCCCTTTTTTTCTAAGGCACTGCATATCTTTGTCCCTCTGTCATCCCACTGTTAATATGATTGCTCCTTTTTATCGTTTCTCATGCCATTTCAGCTTTGCACCTGGCGTTTGCCTTTGAACGCTTGTTTTGCGTGTTACCACAATCGCTTACAAGTGTGTGGGAGCATGTGTGTATCTGCCTCGGTTTTTACCTCAGTGTCTGTTTGTAATTTTTTTTTTCTTAAGCACGCCTTCCGCGTGCAAACCGTGCCAGGCGAAAGATCAAAGCGAGGCAGATGCACATACCTGCGACGTGAGCACCGATCCTTGCCTCAGGGTCAGATGACAGCTGAGCATTTCTGTCACCTGTTGATCTGTTCTGTTGTCGTCTGATCCACGTCCTAATGCCCCCCCTATCCTTAGCTCCATAGTTACCGCATCCCCTTTATTAATGACTTCAAAGTAGGCAGGCTGGGAGCAATTATTCTTTTGTTCAGCTGTTTCAGTGAAAATGTTTTTCTTTTTTTGTCAAACTTCAACACAGTCAGTGATATACAGAACTGGGTATCAGGAAGGACATCAAGAAGCTCTGCATTGTTTTAAAAAATGGATTTCTTTCTATTTAAATATCTTTGATCAAATGTTTTGGTTTAATTTGCTTTGAAGGAAGCTACTAGAGTCTCTGATTGGCTTAAGCCGGGCATGCACTGTACGATTTTTTTGACCCTTTCGGGCCGATTATTGAGTCTTGCGAGAATTTTTCGATCGGGCGACTTTAAGCCTGATCATGCATTGTGTTGTGTGCAGGGGGTAATAAGGGGCCTCTCACGACCACTTGCTGATCAGGAATCGTAAGGTCAGGAGAAAATCAAACATGTTGGAAATTCAGTCTGCCATTGTAAGGTCGCATCAGAGCGTTGGGCTGCACAGTGTAAGAACATGCATCGTGAGCTGTGAACTTTTAAACCATGCAGTTTTGTCGTACAGTTTGAATTGTAGAAACTTGAGGGGGGGTCATACCGTCACAGGTCACTTAACTACAATGCTGCAGCCACTCATTTTTCCTCAGAGATGTTGCTTTCACAGCCCCACCAAAAGCCATAATAAATACTTCAGCTCTCTTTCTCCTCGTCTGCTGTGTCATCCGGCTACTTCTTCTGCTTAGCAGCTTTAAATCCATCCTCAGACACAGACTTCTGACACGTCTTGTATTGTTCTTCTGCACATGCGGGTCACTTCAGAGACACGATTTGAGACGGTCTTGTGAACAGCCACTCCAAAAAAAGTTGGAACTGACAAAAAATTAAGGAATTGAGCATTTAGACCTGTAGAGTGAACGTAGCCTAAATGTTTTTTTAGAAATACTTAAACGAATTATAATTGGTACTGATTTTTCATTTGAAGTTATTATTCCATCCTTTTAGATAAGATCTACTGCTGTTTTGGATGCTATGTGGGTTTTAGTTATATCGAATGATAAGACCTAAATTACCATTCTAAATTGTTATCCTAACTGTTTCTAAAGACCTTTTTTTTTAACCAATACAAAAGTTTTGTCTTAATTTTTTTTTAACAACGTGGAATCCCTACTTTATCTGCCCAGTTTTGCAACAGTTCTAGCTGTAGGTTTTAATGGGTGTCTGAACCATCTTTCCACAATTAATAACTAGATTTCTGGCCTGTTTCTGTTTTTGAAATCGCTCCTGCTTTGTCAGACTGGATAGAGGACTTAGTTAATAAGTCTCAGATTTTCAGTTGGATTTAAATCTGTACTTTGGCTAGGCCATTCCATTGGACTTTTGCATGTTTAGCTCCCTTTTCTTGCTTACAGGGGAACCTCTGCCATAGTCTCAAGGCTAATGCCGCCTTTAACGATTGTTCCTCCAGGTTTGGCTTGTTTTCAGTTTTCTCTTTCTGCGTTTCAGCCCCTAATAGATTAACCGTCCATCATCCCCACTGCCTGATTCTAGCACCACAACGTTCCCCATTGGTGTCGATATCAGGGCCTAGTACAGCGATGGTTTTCTGATACATTGAGTATTGTGTACCTTGACCAGGAAATGTGAAAGGCGTACTTCAAACATGGCTTCTCATATTAAGCTTTTTTTAAAGGTGATTTCCCCCAAGCTTCGAATATCTTTAGCTTCTCTTGAGTTAGCATGGGCCTCTTCTCCATTTCTGGATTGAATGCTGATCTTGAATCATCTGTTTATATGGGAAAATGTTTTTTAATAGGTTAACAGGTTTGTCATATCTTCTTCATTATTCTGATGATAGATTGAAAACAGCTTTGTTAGAGATTGAGTGTTTTTTTTGTGTTTTTTTACCTATCCACACTTTGAAATGTTTGCCTACGTTCTCTAATAAACATCTAAAACCTTAACAGATCAACAGGAAAAACACGGTGAATGAACATCAGCTCCTACTGCTGAGTGATGGCAAAAGTAAATATCAAGCAACATTTTGTAATTCAGCCAATAAACATTACTACGATTAACAGATTGTGAAATTACTGTCACTCTTGGATGACACAGGGAGGCTTTAAAAAAGTTGGAAAGCTGTGTTTTCTACTTCCTCATGTAGTGTGGTGTTGGAATCAATAAGGGTGCTATACACACCACCGTTATGGCCAGAATATTTGGTAGAGGGATAAGAGCTGCAGATGTAGTGCTCATGTGTCTCATTTTCATCACCCTAAGAGACAAACTCTTATTACTAATTAGCTGACTTCTCAATTAGTTGCACTGGATCTGCCCTCTGACTGAATGAGGTTGAACGTGTACAAATAAAACATGTTTCAGCTTGTATTCAGTATTCAGGTTAACGCCCAGAAGGGATGATAAGAAGAAAAAATTTTTTTTAAGGTAATTAATGACTTTGGTCATCATGAAAATAAATGGAGAAGAAAGGAACAATTAATCAGATTTTGTATTAAAAAGAAAGATTTTATTTTTACGCCATATCACCCAGACCTAGATCCATTTGCAAAAACTAAAAGATCAGCCTAATTGCTAATTGATTCATCTCTAGCTTATTTTTTCAACTCATGGATTAATAATCGGATAGCAAACAATGCTTTAATCCAATTTAAACCGGGTGGAACTACAACTATGACACTTGCGTACTAGGGATGGGACAATTTATGAAAACCGTCAGAATCGTTCGGTTCGACTGTCTCGGTTCGGTTCGCGTGTGTTTCGTTCGGTTCATGCGCTGCTCCTTTTTCTCATAGAGGAAGCGATTACACTCCAGAGCAGAAGGTGGCGGTACTGCGACCAAAGCCAACCGCCAGTAGTAAACAAGAAGAAGAAGAAGCGAAGCAGCTTAGCCGGGTGTAGCAGGGAAAAAAATCAGTTGTTGTGGAGAATTGTGTGGGTATGGCGAGTGGGAAAGAACAGGAGTTGGAAGACGCCCCAGCAGCACTTTATAGGTCTGCTTTATGGGAGCGCTTTGCATTTAGAGTGACCTACGATGACGGCGGAAAGAAAGTTGTGGATAAAAGTGCAACAGTGTGCAAGCATTGTGCAACACGTTTTGTTTATGCTAACAGCAACATGTCATGCTAACCCCGAAATCCCTCATACTCCGTCAGCAACCCCCGCTGCGCTCCAGACCGGCTGCTCAAAGCAAAGCCTACAGCCCCCACTGTGGCTTCGTCTGCTCCCCTCTGAGTTCCTTGGAGATGGTAGAGAGCATGTAACCTGACAACAGCCAGATGCATGCATCTGGCTGTTGTCAGGTTAGAGAGCATGCGCCAGATGATTAAATTCAAAGCAGCAAAACATACGGAAATGATCCACGAAAACCGTGACCAGAAACCATGAATCGAACCGAACCGTGGATTTTGTGAATCGTTCCACCCCTATTGCGTACAGGGAGGAACATACTGAGACATTTTTATTTTCATCTAAAATGACAAAACTTTATATTATTTTTTTTTACAATATTGGCATAATTTCTGCTGTGGGTGGATTTCTCTTTTAGCTAATGGCATGTGTTAAAGTCTGTATACTACCCTTAATGTTTTATGGACTACTAAATTAGTTGACGATTATTTAAATAACCAGTTAAACACGATTAATTTGATTATTTTGTTTCTGGCCTAACCTCCAGCTTGTGCCCTTTTTGGTTGCTCTGAGATTACAGATAACTAACCAGCCATCTAGACAATATTCTTCTCTCCATTTGCTGCAAATATCTAAACTTGAATGTAAAAAATTAATAGAAATAAGTTCTTCATTTAGCCAATTCCAGCGTGAGATTCTGCCCTTTAAATATTTTTGTTGCCTCCTAGCAAATCAGTCATTGCAGGGAATTACACTAGTCTGCTCTGAGGTGAACACATGTAATTGGCAGACAGCGGTTGGTGCTTAGGAAATGCAGGTACTTGCCTTGGCTGTTACAAGGTAATTACACAGCAGTGTAAACCTGACTGGAAGGCCTGTATAGCCGAGAACAATGATGGGTTATTGAGTTACTAAGTAGCTGATCACAGAGAGCATACAAAGTGTTATCTGTTCTGTTTTAATCTGCTTTCGCAAATTTTCTGCATAGCTACTAACTGAGCTCCTGTCTGAAAGTTTATTTGTGGAATGTTTAAATCTACAGATTTGACGTGAGTGTGATCTTTCAAGGAAGGAATGAGGGAAAATGCAGTACTTAGGTCCTGACAAAAGTGCAAGATTAGCAAATGCAAACAAGCCTTTATATTTGCTTACATGCCAATTTATGTTGTTTGCCTTAAGAATGTTTATAATCAGTCTGTATAATTCAGTTAAATCATGCAATGATATGTAAGGAGGAATGGTAGATAATGTAGAAGGTAAAGTACTTCTGACCGTTATAAAAAAAAAAAGACAGCTACTGTTCGAGATTACAGCCTCAGCGTCCAGTTTTTCCTCGTAACATCGCCTTTCATATCTGTTTTTTTTCATCATGGTCATTTGGGGAAAGCGTTGGCAAACGTTAGCAGGTTTAAGATCCAAGATGTCTGCAAGATGTGTTACTTGAGATGTTTGTTTTTCTAGAGTCCAGAGTCTACGCCTAAAAAATCCAACAAGATGCCTGTGAAGCAAAATGGACCTGCAGAAAAATCCTCCGCATCTGCAGCAAAACCCCAGAATAAGGTATGAAAAAGCTCCATTGTCTTTTATTTTCTTTCTTTAATTTTGGCTGCAAACAATTTACAGTTACTGTATTTGACATTTTTGTTGTATGTAATTAAACGTTTGTTACAGTATAGGAACAAACAATAATCTATGCTTGGAAGAAAAAACAGGAAAACAAATTTTTGTATTCTTGAGTTTATTTAAAGGAGACATTTAAAACACCAGCTTAGCATTTCAGTGGTTTACACTAGGATTAGCTTAAGATCTACTGGTGTTTGATCAGACCACACCTGTTTCCTGAATAAAAGGCATCAGCGTTATATCAAGGCAATAGAGTTGATGTGCGGGTTTTAATAATATTTGACACCAAACAAACAGCTGCAGACTGGGATTAAAAATAAGCCTTTTCATTTCTTTCAGATAGGCCCACCACCCTGTTGTGTAAATTTGGGATATTATGATGTGATCTAGATTTTAGCAATAAAAAACTTTCAATATTTTATGAAAGGTACAAAAAATAATAAACACTTTTAAATTCAGTGAGACAAAGAGTATACCTAGTTAAATGATTCAATATTTAGAAGAATATAGTTGTGACTAAATAGCATTTTGTGATGAATATTGAAATCATGCTTTACAGAAACCATTTTTTGTGCCCATATTTGCAGCTCTAGTAGGATTACTATCGCAATGGTAATAATTTTAAAACTGAGAAAACCCTTAATGCAAATTGAATAGCTTTGCAACTTTTTTGTTGAAGTCGAATAAAAAGTAAAGCAAGTAGAATAAGTTGCATGTTTTCCTTCACAAACTCCTTATTTGGCTGCATGTCACATTCAGTAGTTTCAGTCCTACTTTGCACCACACATGCTGTGTTGTTGGGCCAAGTCAGTCTAACATGTAGGGTAACCCTTCCTGGCTGTAAAATTAATAATTTACCTATGAATAAAAACCTATTTTTCTTTAGCACTAAAAAAAAAATACTAATTACAAGAGATATCGATTTGGCTTTCATATACGAAACTACCCTGTCTGTATAATCTATTTTACATTACATTTTTAAATAAATGTGTAATGCTTGAAATAGAAAAGCAGTTAAAAACTGGAACCTTTCTTGTTTCTTGCGTGTTTTTTGGTCTCTAATGAAGCAGTAATCGTAAATGCACCAATTCAGTAGTACGATAAATTGAAACCTGGAACCATAATACAGGATTCACTCAAAATAAAATGTTCATTGTTTTTTTTTGTTTAGCTTTTACAGTCTTCAGTATGAAGACAATTCCGTAAAAAAAAAAAAAAAGAAAGTACTATATGCACAAGATTGTTGCGCCTTTGGGCATCTAGCAGTTTTTGACTGTACTGCATAAAGTAAGGTTTTAATAGCAGTTGAAATAAATACCCTACGCATACCTTGTTACATGAAAGTGGCTTTATGTGCCTGCAAGTTTATTGTACACCGATAGCAAAGTTATTGACTTTTATTTCACCACTTGCTGGCTAGGTGTTTCTATACAAAACTCAGGAATGTGGGGGGGCATCCTCACCCACTGCTGCTCCTCTCTACAACTAGCCATTCTACCCTATGTCATTTTCCTCATTGAACATTCGAGGGGGCTAATGTCTACTCCCAGACTTCCTAGACGTCGCCATCAACCAAAGAACTCCAAAATCACTAAGTTCATGTCAAACAACTGATGTCCAGTCATTCTACTATACCTATGTGAAGCTGCTCGGGATAATGTGGGATTTTAATCAGACTGAATTATCTTGTATATTGGAAGATGGTACATCTTCACCATAAAACACCAACACTGGAGGAAAGAGCAAGGAGTTGGCTTTCAAACACAGTTGGATGTTTTTTTATGCTGCATTTTCTTTTGCCGTACCCCTTAAAAATGGAGTCCCCCGCGTCCCTCAGTGAGGTCTGGAAGCGCAAGACTTTTATAGTCATTTTGGCATTTGACCAATTAAATGAGCCCTTGTATAATATGTTACCTGCTGTGAATTAAGTTGAAAAGGTTACGTTAAGTTAGAAAGATATAAAGCTAAATAAAAAAGTGAAAAAACTAATTGAAAATTTTAAAAGTTAATAAAGCAAAAAAGTTTAAAAGCATTTTGAAAAGTTAAAAAGTACAGTTAATAATCTAAGAAAGTAAAGCATGTCTGTTTCAGCATTGGTCCTCTAATGTTTTTTTTTTTAACATATTAGGGTAAGCGAGCATTTGTTGTTATTACACTGATCTTGATTTTTTTTCCATTAAAATGTACATATTACAGTATTACAGGTCTTACCCTGTCTTCCAATAACACCCCTAGTTTCAAAGTATTTCAGAATTAAAGAAAAACAGTATGTCATATTTAATATATTTTACTAGGTCTTCTTTACAGGTGTAATTTTGTGCATATAAATGCATCAGGGCCCTTTTTTCCACAAAATCATTTATGGTAAAAATAAAAATTTAATGTTTGCATTATTGGGTTAAAAATTACTCAGATTCAAGTTTTAAAGAATGCAGAGTGCAACAAAAAAAGAAAAAGAAAAGAAAAACTTGGCTGGCCTTTCCATTACAAAAGAGAGGAATGTGATAAATGCACGTTGCAATTAGTTCAACCTGATAGTTAATTTCTTGGATAGAATGTCTCAGACATCCTCTTCTTCAAACAAAAAGCTTGAACTTTGTCTCTGTTTGAGCAAACACACATGACCTCTAAACAAGTTAGTTTCCCCGGGCAAGATTTAAACCTGTGACCCCTTGGCTTGACCCCGCTGTGTTGGGTCACAGCCACCTTTCATGCTCTTTACCCCTCTTCAGCTCACATGCACATCAGCAAAAACAAATTAAGATTTTCCTGCTTGTTAAAACATTTCACCAGTCATGTTACAGTGGAGGGAGAAAAAAAGACTTGGACAGAGACTGTTTAGATAAAATTTTATGCGTTGCCATGCCGATGCCAACACATAACACATCATAACACATAGCTGTGTCTTTGATAAGGCACCTAAGAAGAAATATGCAACATCTTTAGCTTGCATGCACACTTGTTGCACAAAAAGAAACTGATGTGTTTTCAGAGTTTGTGCAAGATGATTTTGGGTTTGTTGTCATGATAAATGCTCAGGCACACTGTTACTAAACCCCTGAGGCCAAAGTGAGATTCCTGCCATAGGGGTGAGGGAAGCTAACTTTGCACACCTTTATTTTCCCAACTTTCGGAGTCTTTGGCCGATTTGTGACCTAACTTGCCAAAACTTTCCTGCCGTCTTCATTTTGCAGTGCTTTTAGAACCCTTATCCCCTCTCGACTACTTCACAAGCGTTCTTGCTCTACAACCTCTTCACACCCCTCACTTCCTGGACACACCCTCTCCCAATTGCTCTCATTACCCGTGTTTGATGTCTGGTGCAGCTTGTGCTTCCAGATGCCCCTGAGGAGCAAGGAAGCGGGCGTGGGTGTCTGTTTTTTTTTCTCCCTAAATGCAGGTGACTGGTCATTAGATTGGCTTTTCAGATCTGTTGCCAGCAACGCAGTTCTCGCCTCTCACAGCTCAGCATGTAGCGGCACCTTTCCTGTGAAACCAGCTCAGCATGAGAACCAGCTAACTCGAGTTCTGTTGATTTGAGGCAACCTAATCTTACAGCTGGTCTTTTGTGGGTTTTGAGAAGCTGATGCCTTCAAGCACACGTCATGGTCGTAAAGTTGCTAATCACTTCACTTAGCCTTATCCCAGAAGGGAGTGAGTCATTGTTCCAGCAAATGATTGACATGCACTTGTAGCAGGTGCATTATGTATTTCTTTCACAGTATGCTTCTCCTGTGTTTCAATGGTAAACTTATAAATTTGCATATGCAAAGCCTTAAAATATCAATGCCCATTCAAGTCAGCTGCATTTTTTGATGCATTAGTAATAAACATTAATGCAGTTTAATAGGTTTATGTGACATACCAGCAAAAAGCAGTCCAGACTGTTCAAGATCTTAAACGAAACAAAAAACTTCAAGATCTGGTTTCCATGTCCATTTAGCAATCATTGTTTACTCAACACGCTTAAATAAAATCCAGGGCAGCTAGTTTACTTCAGAATTCACCAGCTTAAGTAAATGGATTATGTATGCTTGCATCTGTATTCAGTCTCACTTCAAGACCTTTTGCTGCAATTAAAGCCTTTTGGGATTTGCGTCTACAGTAGGGAAAATTCTTGTTAACAACTAACAAGTTGTTAACAAATTTACTTACTTAGAAGGATCAGAAGTCTATAATTTCCATCTTAGGTATACTTTAACTATGACAAAATCAGATAAAAATAATCTGGAAAACTGGGTTGTAGTATTTTTAAAGAACTTGTATTGCTGAAAGTATTTCGTAATATAAAAAGTTACTTCTCATACTATGTTGCCAAACCATTGTTGGCAGGGACAAGTCTTACTCAGGTTTACTCTCAGTAGCTGGTACTTGGTCAATTCCTCCAAGCAGGTCTCCTCTAGAGCAGTAATGTTCTTGGGCTGTTGACCGGCAACACAGACTTTCAACCCCTTGTATAAATGTTCTTTGAGTTTGAGGTCTGGAACAAGGCAAGGCCACTCTAGGGCCTTGAATTCCTTTAATGGAGTCACCCCTTCCTTGCCCCTTTGGTGTGTGCTGGAAGACCCAGCCACGTTCCATCTCCAACGCTCTCACTGATGGAAGGAGGTTTTAACTTAAAGTCTCACCATACATGGCCATGTTCATTCTTCCCTTAACACATTATGTGTGGTAAGAAGTGTCGTCTTCTACACCGTGGTGTGCTGGGGGAGCAGCACATCCAAGAAGGACACCTCCAGACTGGACAAACTGGTTAGGCGAGCCACCTTTGTGATTGGCAAGAAGCTGGAGTCTCTGGGGACGCAGGCAGAGACAAAGACACTAAACAAACTGCTGGACATTATGGACAATGCCAGCCACTCTCTGTACACTGTCTTCACCACTCAAAGGACCCTGTTCAGTGGGAGATTGCTCCTCCCCAAATGCAGGACCAACAG